GAAGGGGGCGTTGTCATTTTCATCAATTATCACAACTCGGACAATGACTTCAGAGCTCAGTGGAGGGGACCCGCCATCTGCAGCTCTCACTGTAACCTGGAAATCCCTCGTTTGCTCAAAATCCAGAGACTGCAGAGCGTACACGTTCCCGTTTTCGGAGTTTATGGAGATGGAGGAGGAGAAGGGGAGGTCACCGATGTTGCCAGGCAATGCCGAATACGTCACTTTGGCATTCTGCTCTGTGTCTACGTCAGCAGCATGGACAGTTCCAATCAACAGGCCCGGGTGGTTGTTCTCCTTCAGGTACATGACGTACGAACTTTCATTAAATACCGGAGGGTTGTCATTAATATCCGATAGCTGAACTCGGACGATCCTCACTGAGGTGAGCCTCGGAATCCCCCGGTCTGTGGCTGTGATGGTTATGTTATACTCAGGCACTTTCTCTCGGTCCAGGGGCTTTTGTGTAACAAGCTGGTAATAATCCTTCAGAGTCGACTTCAAAGCAAAAGGGACATTGTCCTGAATGGAGCAAAGCGTTCTGCCATTGTCCCCAGAGTCTCGGTCTCTCACACTGAACAGGGCCACCACTGACTCAGGGGCGGAGTCCTCGGGTATGGTGCCGGTGAGGGATGTTAGCTTCACTTCTGGGGCGTTGTCATTCATGTCCTCGATCTGCACTAGGACTTTGCAGTGCGCATATAGACCCCCGCCATCTGTGGCCTGGATGTTCATCTCATAACTGCTTCTTTCTTCATAGTCAACTAACCCCATAACAGCGATTTCTCCAGATGATTGATTTAATTTGAATAACTTGAGGAATCTGTCAGGCACCTGCCTGAATGAATAGGTGATTTCTGCATTTGAACCTTGATCCAAATCACTGGCTTCCACCTTAGTGACCAAAGTGTCCCTCGGACTATTTTCCATTAACTGCACCTTGTACACCGACTGACTAAACTGCGGGAAGTTATCGTTGTTGTCCAGCACATTAATGCGTATTAGCGCTGTGCCGGTTCTCTGTGGCAGGCCCCCATCGGCAGCTGTGAGAATCAGCATCAGCTGCGCCTGCGCCTCCCGATCTAATTGTTTCTCTAATACCAGCTCCGCGTATTTACTGCCGTCCCCCCGGGAATGCACATCCAGACTGAAGTGCTCATTAGAGCTGATTGCGTAACTCTGGATGCCGTTTGTTCCTATGTCTGAATCTTGGGCCCTTTCCAAGGGGAAGCGGCTATTTACGGGGAGCTGTTCAGGCAGCTCCAAAGGGAATTCATTTTTGGAGAATTTAGGGGAATTGTCATTCATATCTTCGATCTGCACCTCTATTCGGTACAGCTGCAGTGGATTTTCCAACACAATTTCGAATTGCAGCAAACACGGGTCGCTCTGTCCGCACAGATCTTCACGGTCTATTTTCTCCTTTATTATCACATCCCCGGATCCTGTGTTCAGCTCAAAATACTCTTTGGTGTTTTTAGAAACTAGCCGAGCACTGCGACCAGACAATTTCCCTACATCCAGTTTCAAATCCTTTGCAATATTAGTAACTAGTGACCCGCTTTTCTTCTCTTCGGGCACAGAATAGCGGATCGTCTCACACGCCCCCAGGGACACACACAGACATAGAAAGAAAGACAGAACTTGCCTTTTCCTGGAGCGATTCTCCATTCCGCCAGCCATTCCCGGGTCAGATCTGAAACACGGGCCTCTCTGCAAAGCTGCTGCAGCCATTCATATGTTGTGCTAGAGGGGAAACGATTTGTCCTCCGATATTGACTTTATTTGTAATTATTCAGCCGCCCTTTCCCTGTAATCCTTTGTCACCCGTTCCCGGCGCAGACCCGTTCCCGTTTGGATTCAGATGTCTGAGTGCAGCTTTCACTGAGTGTTGCTGGTTTTCAGCACCATCTTTGCCAATACCGCCACCTCGTGGCTTAGCTAAAATAAGACATTCCATGATATTTAGATTGTAAACTTATGTGCAGTTATTATCTGCATAGCAAAGATTTCTCTTTAATGTACAAATTCTGCTGATAATATTTCACTGTAAGAACTGTGAGATGTTAAGGTAGATTATTACCGATTGAAGGAGGTAGAGAGTTGCAAAATTATATAATAGTTATTGAATTATCTTTCCACAACACATTTTCTTCTCTCACATCCCAATACTTTTATTCTTCACAGCTAGCTAAGTAAAGAAGTTACTACAATTCGCTCACTTGTGCCATCGCTTCTCTTTCGGTCCACTAGTTTAGCGATATCTTGGGAATCCCTAAATTCTATGATTCCCGTGCTTAGTATGGCGCTCAACAGGAAATCTATGAAACTGAGGCCTAATAATCTAGAACTAACTAGTGGTTAAGCAAGCATGATATATATAATTCTGGGTCAGCGATCGGGTCTTGTCATCTAGAAGCAGACATGTATCTTTCTCCGGACTTTCTTGTCTTATGTTTTTTTAAGGCCATAGCAGAAACCGAAAAAAAAGAAAAAGAAACTGACGCCAAAGAGATTATTAAGTATATCTTTAATATCTCATCATGTTCCTCTTTCGTAGTTATGTCACTGAATTGCAGATACACATCTGAAACCCCATCCACTAGCAGTATATTTAAAGCGTCGCAGCAGCAAATTGGAGCAGGTGTATATTGTCTTTAACAATGATATCTAGTTTTTGCTTAAAGAAGTCTCGCTCCGTAATTGGCATCGTGGTTTTTCCTTCTCCGTTTTGGAGTCCGACAGTGAAGAGACCTGGGTCCGTGGCCTTCAGCAGCTGGTGGGAAGGACAAGAATTCTGACCAGAATCTTCATCTACAGCCACCACCTTGGTCACAAGGTAACCCGCCTTCGCCGATCTGGGAATCGGTCATTAAATGGGAGAGGCTAGAACAATACATCTCAAATTGTTAATTTACTGTGCCCAATTATTATCTGCATAGTAAAGATTTCTCTTTGTTACGTACACGTTGTGTTTCAAATATTTCAAAGTAAGGACGTAGTTAACCGAGGTTATTTCCCATTAAACGAGAAATAGTTATAAAATATTAGAAAAATAATCCGACTTGTGATACTTCCACAATTCGTTTTCCTCTCTCATATCCCAGCACTTTTATTTTCCATAGCTAAATATGTAAAACAAGTCAATGCAATTCGCTCACCTGTGTCATCGCTTCTTTTTTGTCCACGAGGTTACCTGGAAACCCACCGAAGTCTCATGATTCTCTCGCCTAATATGGTGCTAATCAGGAAAACAAGGAACCTGCGACTTAAGAAACGAACTAATGGGTAATCGACCGGTGGTTAAGCAAATATCATATATGTAGCTCTGGTTAAGGGATCCAGTTCTGGCTTCTACACAATTATACAACAAAATGGGTCTCCCGTGGCAACTGGAAGAAGCAGACATGTATCTTTCTATTGGTTTTCTTGTCTTATGTATTTTATGGCAATACAAACCACAGCGGAAACAAGAAAAGGAAATGAAATTGAAGCGAAACACATCACTAAATATATATTTAACATGCCATCCTGCTCCTCTTCCGTAGTTACGTCGCTGACTCACATAGGCACATATGAAGACACATCCAGTAGGAGTATATTTGGCTTTGCAGCAGTGGAGCGGGGTCTGTGTCCCTTGTCTTTAACAATGGTAACTAATTTTGGCTTAATGTGGTCTCGCTCCCTAATTGATCTCTCTGTCTTTCCTTCTCCATTTTGGAGTCCGACAGTCAAGAGGCCTAGGTATGTGGCTTTAAGCAGTTCCTAGGAAAGCCAAGAATTCTGACCAGAATTTCCATGTACCTTAGTGACAAAGTAAGTTGCCCCCGTTGCTGTGCGAACCAGGTCTTTAAGGGGAGCGGCTGTTCTGAAGACGGTGTAAAATGAAGGGGCCGTCGTCATTGTAATCAAATAATAACTTGGACAATGACTTGCTGTCTGCAAATATATTGATGCCATCAGCTGCCACTATATCACTGGGATGCATGTAATAGGGGTATTTCATATCAGTATTGATTGCTATAGGTTCATAAACCCCAGAAGCTATAAATGACGGTGATTTCATAGGATTTAAGTAAACATTGCCTCTTCCTCCCACTGTGAAACCGCAGACACTGCTGGCTACTCCCATTGCAAAGGGTTTGATGGACAAATAAAGCGCAATATACATTTCTTTAGATAGAGCTATTTTACTTTAACGTTTCCCTGATCTCCGCCATTTCATATTCACGCAGTAGCCCGGCAACTCGCACCTCATATAGATTCACCGTCCGAAAACACAAGTGAAGAAGCAAGGGCAGACTCAGATTCTCTGTAACATTTCAGATTCCCGAGAGCCCCGTGCAGAACACTATCTAGATCACATAATTCCGGTGCTACCATAAATAATTACTTTTAAAAATTGCCTTAGACAAGCTTCAACCTTCCTTTGCAGAGATCAGAGACTCTGCACAGAGACCAATATAAGACTTTGAGAAATGATCTTTTTTTTATGTGGGGAGGGGTACAGCATAGAATACTACTTCAGTGGAATTATATTAACTTGAACATGATGCAAGTGTAGAAGATGAACAATAAACTACAGAAAAAGCTCCATACGAAAAAAAATCTCTAGACATTTATGGAAGTAATCTAAGTAATTTTCAGAGCAGTAGAAACAAACCTATTCAGGCAAGGTATTGATGCAAATGGAGTGAAATAAGCACTCACCTCTCTCACCGATTCTTTCTCTTCCTTTAGCTGAGAATTAATCTGACAGTCAAGAATGGACCCTCCTGCAACGCTGGGGACAGCGGGTAGAGATGGTACCAGCGGCCTGAGAAATTTAAATTCGCTGGTACCAGACCCAGTTGTCAAGCAAACCTCATAACGATAAGATTGAGGCAGAGTCCCAGTGCCGCTCGTCTCCGCAGGTTTTGTGGGGAAGTTGGGGTCACTATAAAAGTTCCTGGAAGATGGAACATACAGCTCTCGGCACTGCCTTGTCTTGTACAGCCGGATGGCGATAATGGTTACCACAGAAACCAGAAAAAGGAATGAAATGAAAGACAAGGAAATGACTAGATACAGGGTTAACGTGTCCTGCTGCTCCTCCTCTTCTGGTACATCCAGTAACTGCATGTAGGCGTCTGAAAACCCATCCACCAGAAGCACATTAAGCGTCGAGGTGCTGGATCTGGGCGGCTCTCCGTTGTCTCTAACCAGGACGATAAGTTTCTGTTTAACAGAGTCTGGGCTCGTTATAGGCCTGCTGGTTTTTACTTCCCCGGTTTGGAGCCCCACAGTGAAGAGACTTGGGTCTGTGGCCTTGAGCAGCTGGTAGGAAAGCCAAGAATTCTGACCGGAATCTCCATCCACAGCCACCACCTTCGTCACCAAGTAACCCGCCTCCGCCGATCTGGGAACCAGGTCATTAGCGGGGGCGCTGCTGTTCTGCAGAGGGTATAAAATGAAAGGGGCGTTGTCATTTTCATCAATTATCACAACTCGGACAATGACTTCAGAGCTCAGTGGAGGGGACCCGCCATCTGCAGCTCTCACTGTAACCTGGAAATCCCTCGTTTGCTCATAATCCAGAGACTGCAGAGCGTACACGTTCCCGTTTTCGGAGTTTATGGAGATGGAGGAGGAGAAGGGGAGGTCACCGATGTTACCAGGCAATGCCAAATACGTCACTTTGGCATTCTGCTCTGTGTCTAGGTCAGCAGCATGGACAGTTCCAATCAGCAGGCTCGGGTGGTTGTTCTCCTTCAGGTACATGACGTATGAACTTTCATTAAATACAGGGGGGTTGTCATTAATATCCGATAGCTGAACTCGGATGATCTTCACTGAGGTGAGCCTCGGAATCCCCCGGTCTGTGGCTGTGATAGTTATGTTATACTCAGGCATTTTCTCTCGGTCCAGGGGCTTTTGTGTAACAAGCTGGTAATAATTCTTCAGAGTCGATTTCAAAGCAAAAGGGACATTGTCCTGAATGGAGCAGAGCGTTCTGCCATTGTCCCCGGAGTCTCGGTCTCTCACACTGAACAGGGCCACTACTGTGTCAGGGGAGGAGTCTTCGGGTATGGTACTGGTGAGGGATGTCAGCGTCACTTCCGGGGCGTTGTCATTCACGTCCTCGATCTGCACTAGGACTTTGCAGTGCGAAGAAAAACCGCCGCCATCCGTGGCTTGGATGTTTATCTCATAACTGCTTCTTTCTTCATAGTCAATTAACCCCATAACAGCGATTTCTCCAGATGATTGATTTAATTTGAATAACTTGAGGAATCTGTCAGGCACCTGCCTGAATGAATAGGTGATTTCTGCATTTGAACCTTGATCCAAATCACTGGCTTCCACCTTAGTGACCAAAGTACCTCTAGGACTATTTTCCATTAATTGCACCTTGTACACCGACTGACTAAACTGCGGGAAGTTATCGTTGCTGTCCAGCACATTAATGCGTATTAGCGCTGTGCCCGTTCTCTGTGGCAGGCCCCCATCGGCAGCTGTGAGAATCAGCATCAACTGCGCCTGCGCCTCCCGATCTAATTGTTTCTCTAATATCAGTTCCGCGTATTTACTGCCGTCTGTGTCCAGGGTTTGTACATCCAGACGGAAATACTTATTGGGGTTTATTGCATAGCTCTGGATCCCATTTGTTCCTATGTCTGAATCTTGGGCTCCTTCCAAGGGGAAGCGGGTGTTTATGGGGATCTGTTCCGGCATTTTAAAAACGAATTCATTTTTAGAGAATTTAGGGGAATTGTCATTCACATCTTCGATCTGCACCTCTATTCGGTACAGCTGCAGTGGATTTTCCAACACAATTTCGAATTGCAGCAAACACGGGTCGCTCTGTCCGCACAGATCTTCACGGTCTATTTTCT